AAATTTTAAAGAGAGGAGTATAATGAATATAGAACATACTCCGAAATCCTTAAATTACGTCCGGACATGAATAAGATTTTAAATATCTTAATGAAATAAGACTCGTGTTGAGTTTGAGTACAGACTAAATGTTTTGATATTGAACTGGTTTTGTATATTATCAAATTATTATTATTATTAGACTGGTTTCTGCAAATTGACAGCAAAATGAAAGAAGGTATTGATTAAAAAACAGGAAACGATTCATGTCAAATCGTGGAATGGGATAGTAGTAACAAGAAACCCACTTTTTGACATTTTAGGGCTTTTGGCATTTTGAACTGATGACTTACCTGGTTTACCACACTACACTACGACTATCGTCAATTTAAGTCGATAGTCTTAATATTTCAAGAAAAACATATTCTCGCCTCACACTCTCAATATAAAATCGATATATAAGCCATCCTGTCCTGTACGACCTTTCCTTTCCCCAGAGTCAATAATAATCGCTATTTGTTTCCCAAAGTAGGTAATGCATTCAATTATTCAAAGTAACTACGCAGTACGGGTCTCGGTGCGAATCAGAAGTCGATAGTGACTGAATACATGGCACGCAGTCCGCGGAAAACAACGTAGTACGGGGCCCGGCGCTAATTTTGGTTGCTAGTGACTGAACATGCAACGCAGTCTAGTACTAATTAGACATTATTAACTTGGTGTGGAATAAAGTCGATAATGACTGAACACTTAGCATGCAGTTCCAGGGTAACTATGCAGTACCGGCTATTTGTGATATTAGGTTGCCAGCGACTGAACACATGGAAGGCAGTCCAGGGGTAACTACGCATGACGAAGCTCGGTGTGGATTGAAGTCGATAATGACTGAACACATGGCATGCATTTCAGGAGTAACTATGCAATACGGTCTAGTTACGGATTTAGGTTGCTAGCGACTGAAGACATGAAATGCAGGCCAGGGGTAACTACACACTACGGAGCTCGGTGTGGATTGAAGCCGATAAAGACTGAACACATGGCATGTAGTTCAGGGGTAACTATGCAATACGGTCTAGTTATGGATTTAGGTTGCTAGCGACTGAACACATGGAATTCAGTCCAAGTGCATCTACGCGCATACGGTCTACTTGTGTATTGAAGTTGCTAATGATTAAACACATGAAATGCAGTCCAGGAGCAACTACTCGTGTATAATGGTGACCCTGGGTTTATCAGATACAGAGGATCACGGAAACTTCCCGATTTGATAGCTCAGCACAAATATAACTAATAGCGATAGAATAGAATAGAAGTGTCGGCACTGCATGAAGAAATAGGCCCAAGGCCTGTTGCCGATTCTTGTACTTTTCGTGACTTGATTTACAAGGGATCCGGCCTTTGGAACCCGATCTTTCCGTAGCTGAGATTGATTGAGATAGCTGCTGGACTTATTGCCTGGTCCGTAAGGTGCTAGGCAAAGACTGAACATATGCTCCTGCATAGCTTCGTCTAGTCAGTTCTTGAAGGCGTTCATAAGCGGAGCGTCAACGATGCTATCAGGGAGGCTGTTCATTACAATACATTGATATCGTTATCACACAAATTTCATTGAAAAAAAATTACCTGAATTTTTGTATCCCTTAGTTTTAAATACGAGAGTTATTTTTTTGAATCTTTAGAATTCAATTCAGAATTTTTGTCTGACTTAGTTACTTAAAAATTTAAAAGCCAAGAATAGTCCACAAAAATTCATATCTTTATAAAAAACGCTTCGGAGTCCAGCACCATCGTCAGTTCGTAGAATCTAGAATTCACATAGAAAGTCACAAGTTAATACAATTGAAAGCACAGAACACAATTAAAGCCTAAATTTACACGTAATAGGGCATAAAAAACCTATCTATTCACAATTTCAAGGGGATGAGAGCTAACAGCTGAATTCAAACTGGGCATAAGTTTAAAATTGTACAATCATTCTAAAATACGCATTTTAGAATAATTGTACATTTTTAAACTTAGGCCCAGATTAAATTCAGCTGTTAGCTCTTATTCCCTTGAAATTATTTATAGAAAGGTTTTTTATGCCCTATTACTTGTAAATTTAGGTTTTAATTGTGTTCTGTGCTTTCAATTGTATTAACTTGTGACTTTCTATGTGAATTCTAGATTCTACGAACTGACGATGGAGCTGGACTCCGAAACGTTTTCTATAAAGATATGAATTTTTGTGGACTATTCTTTGCTTTTAAATTTTTAGTTAACTTGCGATTTAAGCAAATAAGTGACATCAATTACTTACTTATTTAGTTTGTGCACAGGAGCTCGTACGCAAGAAGTTGTACACGAGAGCTTGCACACGAGCGGTTGTACACAAGTGGTTGTACACAATAGGTTGTGCACAAGAGGTTGTACACAAGTGGTTGTACACAAGAGGTTGTACTTGTACACAAGAGGCTGTAAACAAGAGGTTTTACACAAGAGGAAGTACACTAGAGGTTGTACACAAGAGGCTGTACACAAGAGGCTGTAAACATGTAAACAAGAGGCTGTACACAAGAGGCTGTACACAAGAGGCTGTAAACAAGAGGCTGTACACAAGAGGCTGTACACAAGAGGCTGTACACAAGAGGCTGTACACAAGAGGCTGTACACAAGAGGCTGTAAACAAGAGGCTGTACACAAGAGGCTGTACACAAGAGGCTGTACACAAGAGGCTGTACACAAGAGGCTGTACACAAGGGGCTGTACACAAGAGGCTGTACACAAGCGGCTGTACACAAGAGGCTGTACCAAGAGACTGTACACTGGACGTTGCATTATACACGATAATGAATGGCTGAGTGAACTTCATCATTACGTTCTATACGGATTCTCCACGTGACTCCTACACTCAAAAATTAAAATACAAAAATTAATTTAAGTAATGAATATACACTCAGAAACAATGCAATAATGAGTTGTATTGTCCTTATAGTGACCCACTTTCTTACCAACAACTTGATTAGAGAGCGGAGGTAGAACTTACACGCCATATTGTTTGGCCAAATTGAGTCAGGATCACCCATCATGGGCGGAAGTGCATGGCTATTTGGGCAAAGTCTCATACATTTCTCTGTGTATCGATCGTCCTGGTGCAGTAGTTCGTGAGATAAACCTCCTTCAGAAGCATGAATATATTGAAAAAAGTAGTGTACTTAACATTATATTGAAGAAAAGAGAGAACTTAACATTATTCTTAAGAAACTGAAGAACATAACATTAAATTTAAGAAAATACAGATCTTAACATAATATTTGAGAAAGTTAAGAACTTCACATTTTTCGAAACTGAGGAACTTAACATTATGTTTAAGAAACTAGAGAACTTAACATTCTTTTTTAGAAAGTAAAGAACTTCACATTATTTTTAAGAATCCAAAAAACATAACATTATATATGAGAAAGTAAAGAATTTGACATTATATTTAAAGAAGGTAAACAGCTTAACTTGATTGTTAAGAAATTAAAGAACTTAATATTATGTTTAAGAAAGTAAGGAACATAAAATACTGTTTAAGAAAGTAAAAAACTTAACGTTATACCTAAAAAAATAATGAACTTATAATGACTTTTAAGGAACTATAGAACTTAACCCGCCTCTTTTTCAGGAGGTTGGAGTCCACGTCTTGCATAAGTTTGGAGTCAACGTGTTTCAAGGGGTTTTATTTTTCAAGTACTCCATTACGGACTAGTTGCCGATTTAGACTGATAGTGACTGATTACATGGAATTCAGTCCAGAGGTAACTACGCACTACGAACCTCGGTTTTGATTAAGGTAGATAGTGAGTGCGCACATGGCACGCAGTTCAGCGGTAACCATCACGTCGGGCTAGTACTGGATTTAGGTTGCCATCGACTGAACACATGGAATTCAGTCCAGGGTAACTACGCACTACGGAGCTTGGTGTAGTTTGAAGTTGATAGTGACTAAATACACGGCATGTAGTTCCGGGGTGACTATGCAGCACGGGCTAATTTTGAATTGAAGTTGCCAGCGACTGAACACATGGAATTAAGTCTAGGTGCAATTACGGGAATACGGGGTCAGTGTACAAGAAACGTGCAGCACGGTAAAACTGTGACACGTATAACACGGCACACCTGGGACACGTACACAAGTGGTTATACACGTAAGCTTATACGCTAGAGGTTGTACACGAGAGCTTGTACACGAGTGCTTGAGCGCATTAGGATGTACACAAGAAGCTGTGCACAGGAGGTTCTTCTCAGGGATCTATACACAAGAGGAAGTACACAAGAGGTTATACACAATAGGCTGTACACAAGAGACTGTACACGAGAGGCTAAATACAATAGGCTGTACAAAAGAGGCTGCACAGAAGAGGTTGTACAGAAGAGGCTGTACACAAGAGAATGTACACAAGAGGCTGTACACATGAGTTTGTGTACAAGAGGCTATGTGCAAGAGGTTGTGCACAAGCGACTGCACACAAAAATTAGTAGTGACGCTGGTCGTAGTTGAGATTTTGGCAGTAGAGAATATTCTAAAGGTATGGCTTATTCCTTGTCACTAATCGTCTTTCAAAAAAACTTTTCGACATCCCCTTGTCTTTGCTATGATTCAAATAGAAAATCGGGCAGAAATCACTCCGTTCAGAAAAGGGTGGCGTAAAGCTATATATTTAAAACAAGATGATGTTATGGGCTGGTTAGTGACGGCAGGATTAATACGCGGCTGATTGCATTCTATTCAAGGCTGATTGGTGCACACAATTTTTTGGTGTACGGTAATGTGCAAATTTAAATGTTGTATTGAAATGTATAACAAAAAAAAAACGCTGCAATTTTAGTTAAAGATCAATTAAACAGTTTACTTTGTTTATTGCATCAACAAACATTCAACTATATTTAGCTTCGTAAAACATATAATTTTTTAGCATTAAGAAGATATGCAGATTTTCTAAAACTTGTCTTTCTTCATTGGAAGATTCGAAAAATAACGCGGACAGCGAAGTAGCGGACTAACTGGAGTAAAGTCAGTAAACCATTACGCTATTCAGGGTTCAAACTTGAGAGCTACGGAATAAAGCTATCTCTTAGTTAGTACTTAGTTGCATATGAAATTGTATTGAATTAAATTTATTTACACGTCATCCGTTTCTAAAAGTATTTGCAATGTATAATTCTAAAGTAATTGATACTGATCATAAAGATGTTATCCACGACATTGCCTTTGACTTCTACGGGAGACGAATGGCGACGTGTTCAAGTGATCAACTTGTAAAGGTTAGTAGGACTACTACCGTACTACGCAGGATAATTTTCAATTGCGTAAATAATCCATTTTCTTATTGATTTAATTCTCATTATTTCAATTTGCACATTAAATATTATTGGTTCTTGTCAACTTCTTGATACATCACAGTAATAATACACTGCACTATAGAATTTGGAAGTAGATGTGATTTGTGAATTGTGAATAGGCTAATCTCTAAATTCTATTTCTGAGACAAAAGGAGAGCTACCATTGACATTGTCCATCAGTCATCAGTGACACTCAAGCAGAAGTTGAGCTACCATAACACTTATGTTGCCAGACTTTAAAAGTTAAAACAAATTTGAAATATCCAGCAGAAGTTTCCTAAAACTAAAATCATCAGATAAAATTGAATTTAGCCTATAATAGAATTTCTTAAATTTTAAAAAAGTAATTGGCAAAAGAGAAGGCCATTGGAACAAATGAAATTAGCCACATTCATTGACACTTTTTTTCTATTTAATCGTAATGGGTGGCTTCTGCCAATTTGTGCCAAATTTTCCAGTTAGGCTTTGATTATGATAGAAACAGTCTATTTTACAAACTGGCCTAAACAAATTTTCAACAGAAATATAATATAACAGCTTTATAATTATAATGCAGCATAGTGCTGTTTCAAATTAAATGTAAAAGTTAAAACTAATATAAAAACCTCCTTTTTCTATTTATTTGGGACATAATCTTATTAGATAAAATCTCATTCACGAATATTGAATAGCCTATCACTTTATATAATTTTCTCAAATATTTTTAATCTGAAAGTTTATGAAATTATTTAAGTGTTTTTAATAAAATAAAAATAGTGTTGAAATACTTTTTAATATTATTTCTTAGTCATGTTTTCATTATGTCTGTAAATATTGCTATAACTTTCAGATAAAATAATTTCCTCAACAGATTTGGAACCTAGATGACGATGGGAATTGGGTGCTGGACAGCACTCTGAAGAGCCCCAGTGGAGCTGTGTGGAAGGTTACATGGGCACATCCAGAATTCGGCCAGATTATAGCCACCTGTTCTTTTGACAGATCTGCCACCATTTATGAAGATTCAAGTATTAAAATCGTAATTTATCTTACGTGACTATTGAACATTCATGACATACTAGCGTGAATATCTACATTTATACTTGACAATGTTATAAAAATTTATCCAAGATCAATTCATTATTTCTTACTTTTTAGTAGTGCTAAATTGAAAATTTATGAAGATAAATATTAATTTACTCCTTATTACTTATAACTTATTTGATTATACTATATTTATGTTCATGCTTTTTTGTACTTTTATATTACATTTTTAATAGGAATATATTTAATTTATCATTTATTTGCAACTACAGTCAGTGACAAAGGACATGGCATGAAGAGATCCTGGATCAAACGCTGCCCTCTGGTGGATGCCAGGAGCTCTGTTACTGATGTCAAATTCGCCCCTAAGAGCATGGGGCTTGTGCTGGCAGTGTGCTGTGCTGATGGCCTGGTGGGTACTGAGTGTGGTGAGGCTTGTGCTGGCAGTGTGCTGTGCTGATGGCCTGGTGGGTACTGAGTGTGGTGGGGCTTGTGCTGTGCAGATGGCCTGGTTGGTACCAACTTATGTATGCTGTGCTGAGTTTTGAATGACGTTTGTTCAGTGTAATTTGCACACGCATAACAGAGCGAGTCTAACTGCATTTTCTGTGTTTAGTTCTGTTCAATTTTAAAGTTTGGGAATACTCATGAACAAAGATGCCACCTCATGATTATTAGTTGATGAAAAATATGAAGAACAATTGATTCAGTTATATAGCATTATTGCAAGAAGATATTGCTAGTTGAATTTGGATTATGCTACTGTTTTTTGACAGGCCTGTATAGAATCCTATTTGAAAGTAAAAAATAATATGCATGCATTCTTTCTTATTATTGTCTTTTTTCATGCGTTCTTATAGTTTGTGTTAAGTTACTCTCATTTTATGTCTATTATGAAGAATAAATGCTATTATAATTTGACATTTATTTTTTCAATTGGAACCTATGAGCATTGAATTTTTCAAAATTATATGTTGTGTACTTTGTTGCCAGGTGCGGCTGTATGAAGCATATGATATAATGAACTTGTCTCAATGGGCAACTGTTCATGACATCAACACAAGACTTCCTTGCTGCTCATGCATATCTTGGAATCCTTCCCCTTCCAGGTGAGTCATCAGGAATCTGAGTTCTGCTCAGGTTATGATTGCCCAGATTAACTGGAGACTTTAATTCTAGATTTTTACATAAAGCTATATATTGGACTGGAATGCTTGGATTTTCTTCTATGTACTTGTCTTGTAGTATTTCAGTAATTATTTGGTCTTGCTTTCTAAAATAATCTTATATTAAGAATTCCATGCACTCAGGTTCAGCGCGCCACTACTAGCAGTTGGTAGTGACGATGGATGTCTGGCAAATAGCAGCAACAACAGTAGCGGCGGTACTATGAGCATAACCAACACCAATACCCCCAACAACGCCAGCAACAACACTGCTAGAGTCGCCATATTTGCTTACTGCGACAACGGCCGCAGATGGGAACAAGTCGAGACACTCTTGTCCATTACAGACAGAGTTCATGACATAGCGTTTGCTCCCAACCCTGGCCGGTCTTTCCATATTCTGGCGGTTGCATCGAAGGACCTTAAGATTATTGTACTAAAGCCTAAGTAAGAATAACATTTTTATATTTATTTCCTTATAAATGTGCTATTTATTGATCGGTTTTAATACATTATTAATCTTGCTTCCAGAGTTTTGAAGGTTATTTGACTTGAGCATGACTAACGTTTTTCTAAAGTTTCATTCGTATTCAAAATTACGTTATTATGGTCACCCAGCAATATGTCATTTTATTTGAAGAATTACTCTTGCCCTGTGGGTACTAAAATTTTCCATTGTTCTTTTCATTGAAACTAGGTACCCATGTGTATGTGACTAATAAGGTGTCATACGAGGTATGGAAAGTTTATAATACAATATTTCTGAAGGTTTTTCAGTGCGGATGAATTATATTGATTACTAATATGAATTTATTACTTAGTCATTGCTCACAATTACATTTATTCCATTGCCCTCCATTGAAGTGTTATTTCAGGTTAGCAGTGTTTCAGATCCATGAGGTTCTTGAACTTCATTGCGTAAAATGAAGTCATTGGTTAATAAAATAACTCGTTGAAAATAACTCAAATAATTGTTCTTTAACTTATTGGTTAATATTTGCAATTGAAAAATTCGTAGCTTGATGTTTGCAATTGTAATTCACCGATTGATATTTACCATTGAAATTTATTTCCTAATGTTTGCAATTTCTGTGTTCAGACCTGCCAACTCAGACGGCAGCTGTGGAGGCTTCGACCTCGCAGTGGCTGGTCAATTTGCCGACCACGGCAGCAACGTCTGGCGAGTGTCGTGGAATGTTACCGGTACCGTCGTCTCTGCCAGTGGAGACAACGGTCTTGTCAAAATATACAAGGGTAACTTGCTGTACATTTATGGAAAAAATATAGATATGGCGATAACGGTTTTGTCAAAATTTACATATGTACAAACATAAAAATGTGTCAAGCTGAGCCATTTTAACAACATTCACATTTTGGTAACTCTTACGGTAATTCAACTACTAAATTATTTGGATTTCGCACATACTGAGCAGTATAAATAATTATCACCTTTTTAGTATTTTTTTATTTTTTCAAAAATGAATATATTATAGGTACGTAGTTTCTTGAAATTGATTTCATCGACCACAGATCATTATTATTAATAATATTTCTTCAAAATCCAATTTAAATTTTTTCAGCTACAGATCAGTCTAACTACTATTTATTGTAATTATATTTAAATCTTATCAGCTACAAATCGCTATTATTCATATTCCCATGAAATTATATTCACATTTTCTCAGGCTAACAACAGATCTCTAAATGTTCAGTTGCCATGACATTCTCCTTGTTTTTGCAGCCAACTACTTGGATGTTTGGAAGTGCGTTGGAACTTTAAGCTCATTTGGAGCTGTGCCTCACAGCATCAGCGACCGTCCTGATGAAGAGGAGCAGCCAGTACAGCCTCAGCAAACTTTCGGCAATTCTGCGCAGTCTTTAGCAACGAACAAGTCTTCGGCTGTCGGTGCGGTGGCTGCAGCTGCCGCGTCTGGGGCTCGCTATTTAAAAATGGCATCCACTAACAATCCCGGCACCGTAGTGTGGCATTAACATCAAAGTCGATTGGACTTATGGGGGCTTGTACACATTGAAAGTAGTGGCAGCCATTACAACTTTCAAATACAATAAATTTTAGAAATTATTTTTTTATTCGGTCAATTGATTCATGCATTGTCTCAGACTTTACGCAATTGTGAAAATTTTCAGATCGATTGGAAAGGCTTTGGCATGGTTGAACTATATAAGGTTGACCCACGAGAAGTTCCGCCTTTCAGTTCAGCTTTCTTGTTACGTCACGTAGATCGAGAAACTTAAACAATCCCGTCATTCCCACGACGGATTTTGACTGGTTTGAACGCATTTCGGTGATTGGTTAATACCCGTGACGTCACTGAGATCAGTGACATCGCGGCGAACAAGCTCCATCCGCAACCTTGTGTAACCGGAATCACCGCCGCGAAGTCGAAATGATTATGCGTAGCGTGCCGATTTGACGGTGACTTGCGTATTGGTTTTAACACAAGGGCTAAAGAGTCGCTCTTTGGTCCGGCTCTAAATTCCCCTGCGTTGGAGAGAGGAGGAATGAGCACGAGGAACTGTTCGTAATACATTGGTGATCTTCGGGCGATACACAATTCTACTGTACAAGGCGCACAATTTATTAGGTTCATAAGCTCCGGGAAACAGGGTCTCAGCTTCAGGGATACAACGTCGAGGAATCCTAATAAACACTCGAGGACCACAAAAGCGGACAGCAAGGATACGGGTACGAGCCGCACCACAAAACTGACGACCTCACAGGAACGAACAGCAAGGATACGGGTACGAGCCGCACCACAAAACTGACGACCTCACAAGAACGGACAGCAAGGATACGGGTACGATCCGCACCACAGTGCCGACAACCAACGAAATGATCAGGAGTTTGAGCCCTAATGTACTGCCAGGGACACAGAACCGGGGTGGCAATTATGCCTCAAAAGCACGACTATTGAAGGGTACGAGCCTCCAATAAGCCCCTGACAATTTACTCGAGCGCAGCGGTTATTTGCCTCTACAGCACGAGGGTGCGACTGGAATGGCTTTTGGCCGCCCAACGCAGCCAAAATTTGGAACTATCCATGAACTCCACCAGTGCCGTTATTAGTCCGTTAGCTGAACTCATTAAGAATTATCCCCAGATCTACGGTGCAGTTTATTTTTGCAAGCCCAAATTTTGCTCTGCCTATTTAGAGTCGAAACCGTTTCACCCCAGCCCAGTAACACTGAGCACACACAACTTCTCCGCGAGGGGTAACTCAGCCAAAATGAGCTGCATCCCGTTTACAATGTATCCCTTACCTCAGCATCCCGTTTACAATGTACAAAACAGACCCGTAAACACTTTCTAAGTGAAAAAAAATTGATAACATAGTTCAATACAATAAAGTCATCATATTTTTAATAATTTGGCAAACTAATCACAGTTAAAAGTAGAATAATCCTAATCTTATTCCAAAGTGACCGAACTCTCCATCGTTCATTACTATCTAGCGCGTACCGTCGCGAGACCAGGAGCAGCTCAACCAATCACGTTGGAGCTACACATTCAGTCTCGTCCCAAGACGCTAACAACTAAATCCTAAAAATATCACAGCTAGACGAGATTCCATATTACAGTCATGAAATAGATATTTGTTTCCGCATTGCTTAGTCATACATAAATTAAAACCTTGAGTTAACAAAATAATATCACAGTTAAATGAGATTCCATATTACAGTCATAAAATAAATGTTACTAATAATTGACTAGTCACTAATCTAAGCACAAGAATAATAGAACATACATTTGAACCGATACTTAAAAAAATCTACCACGAAATAAGCATCCCGTCATACTTGTACTAGTTCAACCATGGGTTGACCCACGATGATTTCCGTCTCTCAGTTCAGATCCTCTGAACTCTTCTAAGCCTCTTCTCTTTAATGTTGCTTCCACCTGGCTTGGTCTCCCTTTTCTTCTTCTTACTAACAAATGAAAATGTGATGCGTGGCTGATGGCATGAGCTAACGTGCTACTGAATTGAATAGGTACCTAGCTTCTTTCCCGCTACCGGTGATCTAGCGGGATGATCAATTGTATACTTAATTCGTATACGGTTGTATACGAATTACGAATTAACTAATCGTTCGTATACTTAATGCAAGAGAATGAATAATTATGTTGTTTCTGATCAAATGAACGAAAACTTCTGATCAAACGAATGAAAACTTCTGATGAAATGAACGAAAACTTCTGATCAAACGAACGACAACAAACTTTTTGAAGATAATTCTGAAATCGTAAGTCGTAACGTCTATTGAATTCTAATACGGATCGTTAATATTGACATATTGACAAATGACAATCTTACTCTTATAGCTAAAAATTTTAAATTGAATTATTTTGTCATTTCAAAGACTCCATTGATTACAGAACTTTAGTTTTTGGAAGTGGAACCCCCTCCAATTTTTTTATTTTTTGGTTAAATAACTCCAGGTTTTGATGCATTGTAGTAGAACTCTTCTAGTTACATATGCAAATGACAAATAAATTTTTTTCTTGTTTTTTCTTTTTCCGTGTGTGTGTGTTCTCTCTTTGTTTCAGATTTTAACTTTCAGAGCTGTTAGACTGTTAGGTACCAATTAAACCCAGTTTAGGCAAGGGGCTTTATGGACTAGCTTCCAGTGCTCCTATAAGAATAAATTAGAAAGAAAGAAAGAAGAATAGGCTAGCTACGGTAGCCTAGTAGAAGTAGCTATAAAGCAAAATGTTTACACTGACCGCTCTGGTAGGCTGGTCATGCTGACACCTGACAGTTCCGTCGTGGTTGAGACGTGTTCGTGGTATAATGGTATCTTAGAAACAAGAAGACTAGAACTTAGAAGTTTAGCTCAAAATTGAAAAATTGTTGCTTCTAATAGGCAATAGCTATTAATGCTCCTAACTCCTAAGCAGGCAGCCTGCAGCAGTCTAAGTTATATTTTTAGTTAAATCCAGTTTTAGTTACTGTTACTTCAAGTCATTAAAACTACAAGTATTAAGACTGGATTTACATTTCAAATTTTCAAGTGCTCAGGTGCTGGACTTGAAATGTAAATCTGTTTCCCAAATTAGAGCCACAAACTCATTTGTCAAGCCATTTTATATTGATGTGAGTTGTGAAGTTGTGACTTGTGAGGCTTTTTATATTGCTTGTGAGTTGTGAAGTTGTGCCTTGTGAGGCTGTGATTTTGCCACATTTGATTAGATCTCTAATTTTATTTTAAAATTGTAAAAATACCTTTTGCAACTTCCAAGTAATGTCAAAGAATGTATAATGGCAAATTGGCAATTCAGCTTGTAAAAAAGTATTTATTTTAAATTATTTTCATTGAATATAGCATTGAATAGCTGCTACCTATAACATTTTATTGTAAAACATCATAAGGTACATCAACTGATCAACAATCGTACCAAAAAGGTCACTAGAAATTTTTTATCTCAGTCAAAGTCTAAGACAGTAAGACAAAGTACCTAGAAAATTGGGAAGAAACCATCTATTGTGACTCATAAATTAGAATAGAATGCCTGTGAATCTGGCCAATGTCCTCTATTCCTGATTTCCCAGCCATAGTAGTTTCCTGAATTCTATAGTGAAATATAAGAAAAATGGCCTAGGGTAAACGCGGTATATTCCGACACATTAAGGACGCATCGAGAAATGAAAAACTATAAAAAAACGTATGCGTTACGTAAGTTCTGTTGCCTTCACAAGACTCTCAAAACACTTCACTACGCGTCAGCAACGATGAAACGTCACAAAATGTTGCCATATTTATTAAAAAGCCTTTAGAATGGAAACCTACCAAATCCCTATATTCCGTCACTTTGTGTGACAACATCCGACACGTGGTGAGTCGTATTGCGTCAGCGCTTCAAATTTAACTGATACGTATTGCCGACATCCACGTGTTCGAATTCCGTTTGCTGTGTGAGCTGTATTGGGATACAACACGGCTTTGAATTAGAACACTAACGAATATTGAACACTACTTAATTACGTTTTAATTAACAGCTATTAGGCTTTTAATTAAGCAAATTTCAATTTTTGTACAAAGCTTTGAACGATCTGTGTGTGTCCAATTCAAGTTGTGTCGGAATTAGTTTTCATGTGTCTAAATCCAACATCTCAACTTAATCATCTAT